TAAGAGATAATGATGGTATACTTTGGAGCTGACACTGTAAACTCTGTAAATTTTAAAGGGCTTTAGAGACATTGCTGACGGCGGGAATTGACACGTGATATACTAAAGTTGTGTGTCTGAAAGACTAAGGAGACTCAACATCAGAAATTCATGACCATCAACTTTCAGGAAGATTTTCAAAACAAAACAAAGTGCTGATCAGAGAGCTAACGTCCCCAAGCATGAAGCTGTCTGCTCTTTCAGAGAAGAAAGCAGAACCAAATTATTTCAACAGGGACAAGTGTATAGCAAACTACACCAAACCCGTTGTTGTTGAGTTGATTTTGAGCCACAGCGACTCTACAGGACAGAGAAGAACTGCCCACAGGGTTTCCAAGGCTGTAATCTTTACAGAAGCTGACTGCCACATCTTTCTCCCAAGGAGCAGCTCGTGGGTTCGAACAGTTGACCTTTCAGTAAGCAGCCGAGCAGTCTAACCGCTGCACCACCAGGGCTCCTTGGACAAGTAGATACCCACTCAGAAAAGAATGAAATTGGACCTGTACCCCCCACCATCTATAAAAAGTAACTCAAAATGGGTCAATGACTTAACTATAAGAGGTAAAACTATAAAACTCTCAGAAAAAAACGTAAGTATAAATCCTCAGTGCCGTGGATTAGGCAATAGGTTCTCAGATATGACACAAAAAACAGAAGCAACAAAAGGAAAACATGGATAAACTGAGCTTCTCACCAAAACTAAAAAGTCCTGTGCTCCAAGTACACCATCAAGAAAGTGAAAACCCAAAGAAAGAGGGAAAATGTTTGCAAATCCTATACACGGAATACAGAAGATTTGAACGACACGCTTAATAAACTTGACCCTATAGACATGTACACAATATTGTATGCAATTCAAGCAACGACAGTCTCTTTATGCACACACAGAACATGGACAAAAACTGAACGCGTGCTGGGCCCTAAGGCAAGTCTCAACACATTTGCAACCAGTGAAATCATAGACAGGAGATTCTCTTGCCACAAGGCAATTAAACTATAAATCAATAATAAAAATGGTAATTAGAAAACCACATATGTTCAGAAATTAAGAACTGTAGTTTCAAATAACTCATGAGTCACTGGAGAGAATCAAATGAAAATTAAATAATATTGTGAAATGAGTGGTAATGAAACTATGACATATCCAAACCTTGAGATACCGCTAAAGCCCACTTAGAGGGGAATTTACAGCTTAAATGCATATATTAGGGGAAGAAAGAATCAATGAACTAAACATCCATCTCAAAAGATTGGAAGAAGAAAGCGTAAATGACAGAAACCAAAGAAAGCAAAAGGAAGAAAAAACTAAAGAGTATAAATTAATGAAATAAAAATCAAACATGCAAAAGAGAGAATCAACAAAAGGAACATTGCCCAACCCCCAAACTGTTTCATGGGGATAGCATCATCTTGATACCTAGAAGCAGAAAAACATTTGATAAAATTCAACATCCATTTACTTTTAAAAAACAAAACAAAAAACTCTTAGCAATGCAGGAATAGAAAGAACTTCCTAATCTGAAAAAGAGTACTTATAAAAACCCTACAACAAACATCATACTTCAATGGTGAAATGTCGAAACTCTGTGCTTTGAAGTTCACGAAGAGCAAGGATTCACAACACACATATGATCACTCTGAGGCAGCATTGTACTGGAAGTCTTAGCCTGTGCAATAAGGCAAGAAAAAGAAATACAAAGTATAAGAATTGGAGAGAAATGCCACTACCCTCAGATAACAAAATTCCAAAAGAATCTACAGATAATTGTTAACATTAATAAGAGTAGCTGGATAAAAAACTCAATGGTATTTCTCGTATACCAGCAGTATACCATTAGAAGGTGAAACCATAGTAATTTTTAAAAGATACCATTTATAACAGCACCAAAACATAGCCAGTTCCTAGGAATAAATACACCAGGTACTGGATATGTTAACCCCTTCTGGGACTTAGAGCTCTTCTGGGACTTCATGGCCACCTGAGGATAGGCATGAAGAAACCCTACCAGCTGGTGCATTGAAATCTTACAAGAAGATACAATAAACAGAAAGTAATACTAGTCAGCATAACACTTAGGTTTTATACGCAATTGCTAAAGTGACAGCAACAAAAATTGCTAAGATTTATTGAGTGTTGATTATGAGCCAAGCATTCTGCTAATCATGGATTACCCCATTCCATGCTCCTAACAGCCCATATCTCCCACCCCATGTCTGTCAGTTTGTCCATGGTGGCTTGCGTGATGCTGGAGGCTATGCCACCAGTATTTCAAATACCAGCAGGGTCACCCATGGTGGAGAGGTTTCAGCAGAGTTTCCAGCCTAAGACAGACTAGGAAGAAAGGGCTGGTGATCTTCTTATGAAAATCATCCAGTGGAAACCTTATGGATCACAACAGAGCATTGTCCCATATGGTACCGGAAGATGAGCCCCTAGGTTGGAAGGCACTCCAAATACACAGTGGCCTTAACAATGGACTCGAGTGTATCAACAATTGTGAAGATGGTGCAGAATAGGGTAAGGTTTCATCCTGTTGTGCTTGGGATCACCAGGAGTCAGAGCAGACTGTACAGCAACTAACAACGGTAACGACACTCCACAAGGCAGACACCGTTATTGCCCTCGTTTCACAGATGAAGAAACCAAAGCCCAGAAAAGATAAGCAACATGGTTGCTCAAGTCGCAAGGCTTTGTAATGACAGAGCCAGAGAAATAAACAAATCCATCCTGGACGTATAGCCAGAATGCTCCTTAGAAGCAAGGATGGCGACACTTTGGCTTGCTTACTTTGGACATGTCATCAGGAGGGACCCATCGCTGGAGAAGGACAACATACTTGGTAAAGTAGAAGGTCAGTGAAAACCAGGAAGACCCTCAATGAGATGGACTGACACAGTGGCCTCGACAGTGGGCTCAAACCCAGCAACCATGGTGAGGATGGTGCAGGAGCGCGCCACGCTCACTTCTACATGAGGTTGCCGTGGAGCAACAATCCCTGAGCCGGGGGCCATCTGACAAGCCGTGCTGCTTCTCACGCACACACGTGGAGTGTCTGCCATGACGCAGGCGCTGTGCCAGCAGCTGAGGCGCCAATATCACGTGATACACTTAGCAAGGGAGAGGCAGACGGTAACCAGGTAAATAAAGAAACAACGTAATTCTTGACTGCGGTGGACGCGCTCAGTTGACAGGAAACAAACAGGCTGGTATAGAGACAATCGAGTCCCTGGGCAGTGCAAATGGTTCATGCGCTCAGCGGCTGACCCAAAGGTTGGCGGTTCGAGTGCACCCAGCAGTACCTCAGAAGAAAGGACTGGCGATCTACTTCCAAAAAATCAGCGCTTGAAAACCCTGTGGAGCGCAGTTCCACTCTGACACACGTGGGATTGCTGTGAGCCGGCGCTGGCTGGTTACGGACACCATCGCTTCGGGGGAACGCACACCTGGGGGATTAGGAGGAGCTTCTCCGGGGAGGTGACAGGTCAGGCCCAGCCCGGGGGGCAGCATCACAGGCAGGTGAACACAGGGGCAGGGGCCCTGGGAAAAATGACCCTGCCTGTCGACAGAAGGAGGAAAGGCCGCAGGGAAAAGGGAGAAAGAGGAAGGAAAGCAGGGAGAGGACGCAGGAGCTCGCTCCTTCCTCACCAAGTATCCCCCTACGTGTGCGTTTCCATCAGTTAAAAGTCTGCCCGAGAGAATAGCTGTTACATTGCGCATCGTACCCCCGACTGTGGATATTAACCTATATCTAACTCTTTAACCTTGAAGGTGCCCTGGTGGTGCAATGGTTAAGTGCTCGGCTGCTAACCGAAAGGTTGGTGGTTCCAACCCACCCAGCCTCTCCCTGGGAGAAAGACCTGGTGATCTGCTTTCATCAAGATTACAGCCAAAGATGGTGCCCGGCTACCACCACTGACTGCTCTGACAGGGATCACGACAGAGGGTCCCGGACAGAGCTGGAGAAAAATGTAGAACAAAAGTCCAACTCACAAAAAAAAAGGCCAGATTTACTGGCCTGACAGAGACTGGAGAAACCCTGAGAGCATGGCCCCCGGATACCCTTTGAGCTCAGTGATGAAGTCATTCCCGAGGTTCACCCTTCAGCCAAAGATTAGACAGGCCCATAAAACAAAATGAGACTAATGGGCAGACCAGCCCCAGGGCAAGGACTAGGAGGCAGGAAGGGACAGGAAAGCTGCTAATCGGGAACCCAAGGTTGAGAAGAGACAGTGTTGACATGTCGTGGGGTTGTTAACCATCGTCATAAAACAACGAGTACCAACTGTTTGAGAAACTGTTTGTTCTGTAAACCTTCATCTAAAGTACAATTTAAAAAAAAAGAAGAATCTATAATAAATGGTAGTAAGAAAGAAAAAAAAGATTACAGCCAAGAAAACCCTCTGGGGCAGTTCTCCTCTGTCGCATGAGGTCACTAGGAGTTGAAAATCGACTCAACGGCACCTAGCCACCTAACAACAATGTTCACATGCTCACAATCAAAACGCATGCCTCAGTTAACCTGAGTCCTGCTCTCCAATCCTGGCCTCAGAGGAGAATGAAAAGCAATAAGAAAATAAGAAGATACACTGACTGTGTTCAAAGACTCCACTTCCCAAGTACAACCTAACATCACTTTACATTCTGTCTCTCACAGCCCCCCACCCCTGGGACCACTCAAGTGCAGAGTGAGGAGCTCAGGACCCAGGGGGTCCTAACCATCAAAGGGGGGGTCACTGCACTCAGGAACGGGAAGGTACATCTAGCAGGTATATACACCCAAGTGTTGAAACCAATGGGCTTGTGACGGGCCTCAAGGTAGCCAGAACATTCAGCTACCAAAGAGAAAACTATTCAGTTAGTCAGTGCATGCCTATGCTTGAAAAAATACAAATAAAAACCAATGAGATGTGAGAAAGGGGTCTGGAAATGAAAAGCGGGCAGACACGCAAAGAGAACTCACCTTCAGCCACTGATCGGCCTGCTCCTTGCTCTGGACGGCCAGGACCAGGGGGTCTGTCCCCTGCTGGGTGATCTTCAGCTCGTGCTTCTTCTTCTTGCTGTCCTTCGGGATGTAGGTGGCGCTACAGCCCTGGAGGGGTAGTTCCATCTGCGGCTGCTGGTCCTTGGAACTTCTGTAGCACTGCATTTAACATCACACGTCAGTGGACTACAGAGTGACTTTGTCAGAACATTAAAACAGAAACGTGATTAAGCTCCGGCATCATGACAGCTTGAGTACTGACAAGGCAAATGGCAGTCTGATTGGACGGGGGAAACATTCAGTCCTCAGAAAACGAATACACCAAAAAAACCAAGCCCATTGCCGTCGAGTCAATTGGAATGGGTAGCCCATCTAGAAAGCAAAGCGCCAGTGACATTCTATCTCCAGATATGTGAACATACATTGATTCACAACTCAGAAGTTAGTTCCCGCACATCTATTCTTGATTCAGCAGCAAACAGGAAGTCCCTACCCTCAGGGAGCTTATGTTCTGGTGGAATTTCTTCACTCAGTTACATGAATACATTTTATTACATTTGTTGAAATGGCAGGGCCCTGAGGTGGGGAGACAGTATAATAATCTGGATACTTTATCTTTGTATCTGTCTGTAACCCCTGTCATTTGCTGTTTACTTGGTCTGTTTCCTTTCGGAAAGACAGAGGAACAATTTTATTAGGAGCATAATTATCAATACACAATGTACAAAACCAAAAAACCAAACCAAACCCATTGTCATCAAGTCATTTCTGACTCATTGCAACCCTACAGGACAGAGTAGAAACGCCCCATAGGGTTTCCAAGGAGTGGCTGGTGGACTCGAACGGCTGGATTTTGGTTCGTAGCCGAGTTCTTCTTAACCACTGCACCAGCAGGGCTCCACGATGTGTGAAGAGGTTTGCAAAAGACATGCCTTCTAGATGAGCAGAGAATGCAGAACCAGACTGGCCCACAGGCCTTCATGCTAGAGATTTCAGCTGGGAAAGTCGGCACCAAGAGCTAGTGCATATCGTTTTTGCTTAATCTCTATCTGTAAAATTTAGAATCAAATCTTTGTCCAAGGCTTCAGCCACCTTTTGTTTAATTTTACGACTTGGGACCCAAAGCATACCTCTTCACAGAAGTACATAGTCTAAGAGTTTAGATAACAGTCCCAGCTCTGTTACTAATTTACTTTGGGTCCCAGGAGGTTTCTTAAGCTTCCGGAGCAGGTTTCATCATTTGTACAATGAGCTGTCACTATGGCTGTGATTATGTTAAATTATTACTAACAAGAACATCTGCTGCCAAGCACTGAGTGCCAACCACATATGAGGCACCTCACACATATTTGAGCGTCACAGACGTTCAGTTTGCAGCTTAGGGAGCAGGTCCAGACGGGGTAAGCGACTCACCCGCGGCAAGACAACGTGAGTAGTGGCTCCAGGACTCCAGCCCGAACGGTTAAGACTTCAGAGAGCCTGCGCTGTTCACGCTAAACCACTCATGGGCGAAGGTGTAAATGAACAGACGCCTATGTTTAGAAATGGCTTCTAGAATCCTTTCCTATTTTACGGTTTACATTTAAAAATATATGTATATATATATATACATTTTTTTTTAATTCAACTAATGGCTGCCCTATCTAAAAAGAAGCGGAAAGAACACAAGCAGCGGCCCACCTCAGATTGCTGGGGACGATCCCCAGACTGTCCACGTTTTGATCAAGTACAAACGCAAGGTGAAAAGACGCTAATTGCTACCGCGGCGGAGGAGGCTTGCCTTTTCCTCAGGTTAATGCCTTGGCGCAGACACGTTCGCAGCGGTGTAACAGGCCGCCCGCGCCTTGGAGATGCCTGAAGACCCAATGTACCGGGCAAACACAACAAAGCAGTCATGGCGGCCCCACCTGCGTCCGAGTAGAAAGCACTCAGCTGCTAACCGGAAGGCAGGAGGTTCAAGTCCACCCAGAGGGGCCTTGGCCGAAAGGCCTGGCCATCTGCTCCCAAAAGCCAGCCATGGAACACCCTATGGAGCACAGTTCTTCTCTTTGCGGGCCGCCATGAGTAGGGGTCCACCCAACGGCAATGGGTTTGGTTTCTTGGTTTTGGTACTGTTTAAACTTGGGGAGAATTTGCTTTTATCACTTTTGATTTTTTTTAAGCATCAGCAGGGATAATTTGGGCAGCTGGATCATAGGTCCTTTCTGAGCATCATAATAAAGATAACGATCTTTGATTCTGTATTTCATCCAGGACAGCGTCCATGTGGCTTTCCATCTACGCCTTATTAAACGTTTATGACTGCTGCTGGGGGGCAGGGTCACTATCCCAGGGAAACTGATGGGGATCAAGGAAGGCAAGAGCAGGGGAGGGGGAAAGATGGGGGGAGAAGACAATGTGGGGTGAGGGCAGGAGGGCGGGGAGAGGGGACCCCAAACAAGTCCCTCCCTCGGGCAGAATCCCTGGGGCTGCCATGAGCATTCTAAGTGAGAGCTGATGGTGGGTTTTTATAATGTTTATGTAATCCACCACATCTCACAGCCATTAGGTCAGCCTGTAAATAAGGAACACATTAATCTTCTTTTTTTTTTTTTTCCATTTCTTACTTTATATAAATCCCCATGGCATCATTCTGGAAATATTCTAAATTTAAGAGAAATTCAGGCCACACGTGGCAAAAATATGTACACACACTGATAAAAAAAGGAACACAATAATTAATTAATTGGCAATATACACTGTCCGAAGGATCTAGTAACTTATGATTCCCATAATTCACAGGTAAATGTATATATGTATATCTATATATACATACATATGTATCTGCTTCACTGAAGAGTGATATACAGAAATGTAAATTCTTATGTTTTCTGTTTTAACAATATAATTTTGAGTGATTTTTTTTTTAATCCCAAGCTTACATTGAAGAAAAAATAAAAGGCAAAAACATACTCTAAAGTACATAAAGTAAACCAGCCAAGGTTTCCGAAGCTGGGAAAGAAGGCAGGGAGGGAGAGAGGGAGGGAGGAAGGAAGGAGAAAAGCAAGCGGAAGAAGGGAGGGAGCCTACGTTTTCCTGTCCCCGCTTCTCTGTTACTGCCTCTATCTTCCTATTTTGCCTCTCAGGTTTAAAAAAACCAAAAAACAAAAAATGGCCTCTAACTCCCTCCAAGCTCCCGTGGCCTCCACGCCCCACCCCGTGACCTGGCTTTCAGGAATCCACTGACTCTCTAGGAGAAAGTGCATCCCGCGGCCTCTGGCACATTAGACCAGCCTGCATTTCCGGGGACACATGCCCGCCGGAGTGGGGGTCATTTTGTCCTGGGGTTGTGCTGGGAGCCAGACCCTGCAACAGGGCTGCCACAAACCTCGGGCCATGCAGGCACACCCCACTGACCGTGCAGAACCCGGCGGCAGCAGCAGCCTTTGCTGTGGCTTCTGAGTCCTGGCCTGGGCCAGGTGCAAGCACACCTGGGACGTCTGAGAGCCCCGCCCCCTCACCGAGGACGGTAAGGGCTGGGACAGATCCCGTCCTTACAGACAGCAAGCCTGACCAATCTGACATAAAAACAAGGAGCTCAAAGCTTTACCAGCAGCTTGGTGTCTTTGATGACGCACAGCAGCTTGGTCCACTGCCCGAAGCGCTTTTTCCGCAGCAAGAAGGCACAGATTTTGGCATCCTTCACGAGGTCCATGGAGGCCTCCTCGGAGGGCCACTGGTGCCGCGTCTTCTTCCCCTTTCCATCTTCCTCCTCCTCGTCATAGGACTCGTAAGAGCTGCTCATCGCATCCGAGTCATAATCTTTCAAAGACAGACAGACAAACCGATGTCAAAGGACCCAGTGACAAAATTGTACCTGGAACTCTACCTACCGGCTCAAACACGCATTGTTGTATTTTTAACAACCAGACACAGGACACTGACTGACACAGTGCTGCAAGATGCCCTTAGGCTGGAAGGCGCTCAACATACGCAATGGCTGCAACAATGGACTTGCGCCCACCGATGATCGTGAAGTTGGTGCAGGACTGGGCAGCGCTTTGTCCTACTGTATGTGGGGTCGCCATGAGTCAGGGTCACCTAGACAGCAACTACCGTCAACAACAACCAAGTAATTTAATGAGGAAGGGGCTTTTGCATTCTGCATACTAGGGAAACATTAATTAGTAAAAAGAAGAAAAACAAATTCAAAGATTTGGGTGGTGGAAACGCAACTAAAAGTCTTCCATAAAAGTGAATAAAGAGTCCCTGGGTGGTGCAAAGGGTGAAGCGCTGGACTACTAGCCAAAAGGTTGGTGGTTCGAGCCCACACAGGGGTGCCTTGGGAGTCAAGCCTAGCGATCTGCTTCCAGAAGGTCACAGCTTTGAAAACCCTATAGAGCAGTTCTACTCTGCACACATTGGGTCACCATGAGTTGGAATCCACTCAACAGCAACTAGCAACTACAATAATAATGGAAGGTGATTACCTTATACTAGATTACATTATGGAAAGTGATTACGGTATATTACATTACATTACATCCACAGGTATAGGGGTTAAGGTTCCAACACATATTTTGGGGGAACACAATTCAGTCCATAACAGTGGCCAAAACTCAGCCCTTGAAAACCCTATGGAGCACAGTTCTGCTCTGCACACATGGGGTCGCCGTGAGTTGGAATCAGCTTGACAGCAATTAACAAAAAGATGACTAACAACTCCGCGTTTGGAAACACATTTCTGCATTGTTGGTTCTGACACTGTGCCGTTGAGTCCTCCCGATGGTCTTCTGGGTAAGGGCTGTCCTTACTCTGCAGTTCACGCAATCAGCTGGGACCCTTCCCCATGAAAGTCCCTTGCCTGCTCACACCCACCCCTCTATGTTCAAGTTCTTTCAGGTCCGCCATGTCCTCCTCCCCAGGGGCATCGCCGCTTCACAGACTCGACCTCACAAGCAAGAGCCCACCCCACACCCCCTCGGCTCAGGCCCTCCCTGGAGCCCTCGAACAAGCTCCCTCCTGTGGCCCTCACCTTCCTTTGCACTACATGAATGCTTACACTGCATCGTTTTCCATTCCCCAGATCCATCCCACTCTCTCACCTCCAGGAGTCCCTGGTGGTGCCAACGGTCAACTGGTCAACTACTAGCTGAAATGCTGGCCGTTCTGACCCACCCAGAGGTGCCTAGGAAGACAGGCTTGGAGATCTGCTTTCGAGAGGCCACAGCCTTGAAAACCCTATAGAGCAGTTCTGCTCTGCACACACGGGATCGCCATGAGCCAGAATCCACTCAGCAGCGACTAACAATGATGACTCTCCTCTCCAGGACTTGGCACACTCCATCCCCTCTCCCTGGCATCCTGTTCCTCCCACTCACCACCCTGCCTTTGCCTGGATTGATGCTTCTCATCTTTCCCAATCTGCCCTACTGGCCTCTCCTCCAGGAAGTCCTCCCTGATTCACCAAGGCTGGGCTAAACAAGCCTCCTCTCTGCTTCTCAATGGGAGACTCAGCACATCGTATTGTAACTGCTGTTTACTGGTCCGTCTCCCGCATCAAGGTGCAAGCTCACGGAGGTGTGGGAACTACCTTGTTCACTGTGATACCCCAGCACCTGACGTAGCACCTAGCACCAGGGAAGAACGGCCATATGAACTGAGGTCGTGCCGGCAAGGCCCTCTGAAGAGTGTCTGCCATGTTTGACGTGTTTCGTCTGTACAAGTGACCGTCACTAACTCTGGATGATAACCCCCTTGAGGCAGCATCTGACTCATTGCTGCCCTCCTCCCCAGCCTAGAAGCCTCTGGAACACATTAGCTTTTCAGAAAATGCTTGAGGATTGAGCGCACCAGTGATGAACGGATGACGAGTGAAGGGAAGTAATGGCTGAAGTGAGCAGCTGTTCAGCAAAAGCAGCAGAAATGCCCAGCCTTATGGTGACCAAAATTGGCGTTTTTTACTCACTGAACCCGAGTGTAATCTGTAGCCAGAAGTGGGGGCTTCAGTCTGTCCCCTCTTCCCCATTCCTCTCCAGCTCTTCCTCCTGGTGGCTTGTCCTGCCACATCCAGGGCACCACCTGCCACCCGCTCCTCCCCTGGCTCCCACAACTGCCTGGGGTCTAATTCCTACGGCACGTTCTTTATTCCACGGCACTCCTAAGGTCCTGCGTCTCTGATAAAGCCACAGCTGACATGTCTCAAAGTTCACAGTGAATGAAACACCAGTGTCTTAGTTTGTTGGTTTTCTAACAGAAATAACCACAGGTGGTTGGCTTTAATGAACAGAAATTTTACTGTCTTGAAGTGTACGAGGTCTAGGGACGGTCAATCTGTGGGCTCTGGGGGAAGATCCTTGCCTCAGTATCTGCAGTGCTGGTGTTCCTCGTTCCCTGGCAACCCTCATGTGGCATCAGTCTTCCCCAGTTTGTCTCCAAGCCTGATCTGCTCTTTTGATACCTCAAAAGTGATTCGATTTACATTGCTGATGAAAACATAAAATGGTACAACCACTTTAGAAAATGATATGGTGCTTCTTTAGAAAACTAGAAACAGAAATACCGTATGATCTAGCAACCCCACTCCTAGGAATATATCCTCGAGAAATAAGACTTGTCACACAAATAGACATATGCACACCCATGTTCATTGCAGCACTGTTCACAATAGCAAAAAGATGGAAACAACCTAGATGCACATCAACAGATGAATGGATAAACAAACTATGGTCCATACACACAATGGAGTATTATTCAACGATAATGAGCAATGATGAATCTGCAAAACATCTCACAACATGGGTGAATCTGGAGGACATTATGCTGAGTGAAATAAGTCAATCACAAAAGGACAAATACTGTATGAAACTACTATTATAAGAACTCAAGAAAAAAACAATCTTTCATGGTTATGAGGGAGGGAAGGGGTGAGGAGGGAAAACTCTAAGTAGACAATAGATAAGTGTTAACTTTGGTGAAGGGAAAGACAGTACACAATACTGGGGAAGTCAGCATAACTTAACCAGGGCAAAGGAAGCTACTGAGACATAGGAAAACTGGACAAATGGAAACAGATAAGCCAGGGAGCAGGGGGCGGGGGGAGTGCTGACACATTGCAGGGATTGCAACCGATGTCATGAAAAAAATTGTGTACATATTTTTTGAATGGGAAATCTAATAGGCTCTGTAAACTTTCACCTAAAGCAAATAAAATTTTTTTTAAGTGACTAGATTTCAGACACACCCTACTCTGATGTGGCCCCATTAACATAACAAAGAAAACCCTCTTACCAAAAGTGTTACACCCACAGCTACAGGGGTCAGTATTCCAACATATATTTTGGGGGACAATTCAGTCCACAGCAGTCAGCCAGCCCTGGGCTGAGCTGACAGACCAACCCATGCCATAGCTCTCCAAGGGGAGGCAGCTGGATGGGAGGCCGAGGGCCAGCAGGCCAAGGCCAAGACTTCAACAGCAAGTCTTTGCTCAAGCAGCTTCACTCTGGAGCCCCTGCTGACATCGCTCACCAAGTATGGCTCTTCTATGACTCTTTCTTCTGGAACTCGTTCAACAAAAGCTTCTCAGCAGACACACAGCTCCACTGAGGAACAGGACGGGACACATCAGTGATGTGGAGCCACTACACAGGACGTTACCAAGCCCAAAGATGGACAAAAGAAATTCCTCTTAATTTCCCTTGTTGTTAGCTGCTGCCGAGTCGGCCCGGACTCACGGCGACCCCATGCACAAGGGAACAAAACACTCCCAGCCCCGCGCCATCCCCATGATCTGTCACAGATAGGACTGTAAAAACCCATAGAGTTCTCACTGGCTGATTTTCAGAAGTAGACCACCAAGCCTTTCTTCCTACTCTGTCATAGTCGGAAGCTCCAATGAAACCATTCCAGCATCACAGCAACATGCAAGCCTCCACTGAGAGATGGGTTGTGGCTGTGCGTGAGGTGCTGGCTGGGAACTGAATCCACATTTCCTGCATGGAGGGCGAGAATTTTACCACTGAGCCACACTGCCCCAGTTTGTTTCTAGCCCCTGAAGATATGTTGGGGATGGGGGTTGTGGGAGGTAAGACTAGAGCCAAATGCTTCAAATTCTAGAAAATACCCTCATCAAAAATGTTTTTTCTTTACTTGTTGCGATTACAAAGGAAGTAGTCTAAGGAAATTTCAAATTATATCAAGCCACTTAATTTTATGTGTTTTCTAATGAATATACTATATTCTTAAATCATTGAGACTTAGAAATTATTGAGTGCATTTTCCACATAGTTTAGTAGTTCTTAACTGGAAGAGAAACTAAGAGACAGAAGTTACAGATTTCAAAAATTTGTTATTTCGTAAACTCTGTTATAGATTTAGTTATGGTCTTCCAAAAAGACATGCTGAAGTCCTGACCCCAGCACCTGTGAACACGACCGTGTTTAGAAATAGGGTCTTTGCAGATGTTATCATTTAGTTAACACAAGGTCACACAGGAGCAGGGTGGGTCCTAATGCTGTATGAGTGGTGTCCATATAAATAAGAAGAGATACAGAGACAGGAGACAGAGCAAGGACGCCATGTGATGCTGAAGCCTCAGCCCAGGAATGCCAGGATCCACCAGAAGCTGGGAGAGAGGCAGCAACAGTGTCTCCTTCAGAGCCTTAGAAGGAATTGACACGGTCCACACCCTAATCTCAGACCTCCAGCCTCCAGAATGTGAGACGATACATTTCTGTTCGTATAAATCACCCAGTGTGTGGTATTGTTACGGCAGCCCCAGGAAACCAATACAGCCCCCTTACCAGAACCACCCTTTCTGTCTC